AGACGCGGGAAGAGCGTCGGGGAAACACGTCAGGGGCCAGAGCACCTGTGTCACTGAGGAGAGGCTTCAGGAGGCATGTTGGACTCAGTGGGGAAAATGACTCTCAACAACCAAAGAGTAAAATCTGGGCCTTTGTGACCTGGAGACGTCCATGGTCATTCCCCAGAGACAACTGGATGAGCCGACCCGGCCATGGGGAGGACAGCTCCCCTGGGAAAGGTTCAGTGAAGTTACCTCTGAGCCTCCAGCCCTCAAAACCCAGGCCTTAGCTTTTCCACTATATACAATCTGGGTCCATGGTAAAGCAGAAGTGCCCCTCCCGCCCCAGGCCTGGCTCCTGGCGACCTCTCCTCAAGCTCCTGGCCCACATGCCTCCTGCCGCCCGTCACCAGAGCCTGGACAGGGCGCAGTGCCCTTCACCCGTCTTCACTCTGCACTCCCTCCACCTCCCAGGTGACTCCAGGCTCATGAGCAGGTGACCCTGAGCAATGCAGGTCTGAACTGCATGGAAAAGTCACTTATATGCAGACTTTTTCACTAAATACGGCAAATGTTCTTCCTCTTCCTTAAGATTTTCTTAATAACATTTCCCCTCTAGCTTAATTAAGTGTAAGAACACAGAACATAATGCACATAACAAACAAAATATGTGTGATAAGTAAGGCTTCTCACCAAGACCTAGCTGTTCGTCGTTGAGTTTTGGGGAAACCAAAGGTTCTACCCAGGTTGACTGTGGGGCGGATCGGCACCCTTCACCCCTGCGCGTAGCTCTGTGTGGCTCCTCACCTTTCCTGACGGCAATCCGTTTCTTGAGGAGAGTATGTTACTCACTTCATTTCCTATTTCCCTGCCCCCGCCCCCTCCCAGTGCTCAGAGGTTACTAAATACAGCATCCTCAATAAATATTTGTTGAGGGAAAACATATGCTTAACAATTAAAGGCCCCACAATTTATTCAAAAACCAAATAAGGGAGCTGACTCGGGGAGGGTCGCCTTTATGAACTTTGACTACCATCCCAGAGTCCCAGGCACAGTGAGCACAGCCCGGGGCTGGGCGCCTTCTATCTGGACGAGTGGTGTGGCCCCCACGCCCCTGTACTGCTTTAGAAGAAACAATATTCTATTTTGCTAAGATACATTTGTTTCTCCCCAATCTAAAACTTCTCTTACCTTCAACTATTGTTATATTGTAGGTGCTGGTGACATTAAATAGTTTTCCATTGTGATGAAGGAAAAACATGCAGGTGTAATATCCCCGGTCTTTAAACTCTGCATTCTTCTTTAAAGATGGGTTTTTATTGTTCTCTATCTCTTCACAGTTCTGTTTTTAAAAAGCAAGTTAAAATATTTTAGGTAAAAGCAACGTTATATTATAAGAATTCAAAATTTTACATAATTCTATTTCACGACAGGGGGAGGGGCATGGGAGCGAGTGACTCTGAGGACTGAGCACCTAGCAGGGACCCCTTTGACGTCCTGCGCCAGGAGACAGTGGCCTGATTAGAAATGCATGGAGAATATTCAAGTCCAAGGACACACACACACACACACACACACACGCACGCACACGCACGCACACACCTCTGCATCGCACACTTCCACCTGTGGCAGAGGGATTAACAACATGAACGCCACCTTTGCAGTCCTCTTCACTCATAGGTAGGTTATGAAGCGATCTCAGAACCAGATGGGAAAACAGGAACTAAACTGCTAATTCTGACTGTGTGCCTGTCCCCAAACGCTCCTCTCTCAAAGCGGCCAAGCTGGTGGCACCTGGCAGAGGGCTCAGCGTGGGCTTGGGAGGCACCCACATGGCCTCACTGCAGGAATTGCTTCTATAGACACCGAATGTTTAAACTCAGACTGATTTCCCCCAGCCATGTTGAAAAATCAGACTCTTCATTTTTCCAATCAGTTGTTTACTGATTCAGCGTCCTCGCTCCCCTCCCTCAAGTAGGTCAGGATCTGTAAACAGGCTGTGAACTGAGCCCTGAGGTCAGCGTCCAGCTAAGAGCACCCTCCAGCTCCACGCTCTAAGTGGCCTGTGTGTGTGGGGCTTGCTTAGGCCCGCACGCCGAGCCTCACATGTCATGCGATGCAAACATTTGCACGTTTGACAGGAAATGGGGTCAAGTCAACTGCAGACCGGCTCCGACATTTAGAAAACACTTTGCATAAGAGCTGTCCTTGAAAAACACAAGGAAACAGTGTTCACGCAAAAGGAACAAACAAACGTTCCTAGGAAATCGGTTTCATCTTCCCAAGGTCTTCTGTGCAGACCACCCTCTCTCAGCTCCGCTCCGCAACCATGGCCTTCAGGCTTGTGCTTCTACAGAAATGATATAATTTGGGTTGTGTGTGTGCATGCATGTTGTTTATGTATGTGTGCATGTTGTACTTGCATACATGTGAGTGTACAAATGCATGTGTATATGTAATATACATGTGAGTGTATACAAATCTCTCTATATAATAATCTCTATAGTATTGTCTAAAAGAGCTCTTATAACTTAACAGGTAAAAGGTACATTAACTGAAGAAAATAGACAAAGAAAGTAGACAATCCACAAAAGAAATAATACAAAGATGCAATTAATACACAAAAATATTTAATTTGTTATTAAGAAGAGTGGGGGGGCTACTCAGAGCTGCAGAAGGCTGGCATGTCGGGGGTGGTGGCCTGGCCCCTGGCGCGGAGTTTGATGTGTGTCGAAAGGCACACACCTGCTCTTAGCCTCTGATCCAATAATTCCACGCTTTTTGGTTAGAGGATAGTCATATAGACACTCGGAGACTTATAGGATTAATATTTGTTCTAGTCTTAGTAATAATAGTGCAAAGTAGAAACTAACAAATGTCCATAACAGGGGGTTAGTCAGGTACAAGGACATACATATGGAATCTCGTGTTGGAAGAATGTTTAAAGATATGGAAGAATAATCACAATATAATTTTTAGTGAATAAAGAAAAAATACAAGCCATTAAAAATACCACTTTAAAAAAAAGATGTTTACACAAGAAAAAATGTCTCTGGCTGATGGGATTATGAGTTATTTCTGCTACCTTCCTATTCATTTCTCTACCTTCCAATTTTATAAAATGAAATTATATAATCAGAAAAATGTGTATATAATAGAATTTAAAATTTTAAGTATATGTGGCAGAGGAAAATAAAATCTTTAAACTAATATTTCTAAAAATTAATTTATTGAAAAAGAACACAAACTAGTAAAGGACAAGAGAGAGGAAGCCTTGTCATTTACTGAACCTTAGTATCAGGCAGGAGCAGTGCCCCCTGCCTCATGTGTAGGCGCTCATCACAGCAGCCCTGGGGCCCCCTCACCCAGAGAGGCCAGCGAGCTGCCTGCGGTCACACAGCTCACATGTCCTGAGAACAAAGTGCTCCACAGCCACCAGACCCTCATTTTGGAGTTTTGTCTTTCCTACCAAGTCTGAAGTGAGAACATGTTGAATGTGTTACCTTATACAGTGCCGTTCTGTGGACCAGGTCTTGATAGTAACTATGGCTACAGTCCACCTGCAAAGCCTTTCCAACTTCCACAGTTTTACTAGTTACTTGTTTTTCAGTAAAACAGCTGTGTTTACTTCTTCTGATGACATTCAGTTTCCAATCATGAGTATGATTTCTATGAAATAAAGGTTTAAAGATATTTTATAATTAGTACAGGGACTTTGCAAATACCATTATTGAGTAATCAATGCAACAACATTTTTCCCCTATTTTTGTATAAAGAGACTCATTTACTGTTGCCCAAACTCTGCTCTGCCTCTTTCAGGTTCAGCGTAGCAAGAAATTTAACTGTCATGGGATGGGGGTAGAAGTTGGGGAAAAGATAAACCTGAGCAGGCCCTAAAGCACACCCACGCGTGCACACACACAGACACACACGCACACGCACACACACACAAAGCCCACTGCAGACCAGAAATGTTTAAAACATCAAAGATTTTGGCGATAAACAAGTTCAGGAATTCTTAACCCAAGGCAGGAGGGCGGCGCTGGCCTCCCGGGGCGAAGCGTGCTTCCTGAATGTCTGCATTTCTCGGCCGCTTAGCCAATGCTTTTCTCTTACTGTCAGTTGCCCTCGCGTATCCTATCAGCACTTTTGTGCCTCACTGAGCAGAGTTTATTTCAATAGATGTTGTTGTTCCTTCTGATTAGAAATTAGAAATCTAAAAGAAAGAAATTTTGCAATGTTTTTAAAAGACAATGGTTTGCAATGTAATGTTTGCTTAAACTGCGCACGCAGTATGTACAGTCCTGTACCAGACCCAGCAGGTGCCCTGTGTGTGTGAACACAGTCTGCCCGAGGAGGCGCTCCCAGCTCCCCTTGAGTCTCCATGAACGGAACCACTGGCACCCCTGGGTCCAGCGGCTGCACTGGCACTGGCGGGATGACTGTTGCCTTAGGTAAGTGAGAAAGCTAACCTTCAGGGGAAGGTAAACAACTCCCGTGTCACATGCCTGGGAAGCCATCGCCAGGATGCACACCCATCGATTTTGGTCCTAACGGCCAGGAGTGTTTTGGAAAACAGGAGTGTTTTGGAAAAGACTATGTTATGACAATCAGTGTGAATTTATACAGGATCGGCTGGGCTGGGAGCCAGGGCGCGGGGCAGGGGTACAGGAGGGTCAGCGGCCATGACACAGTGTGGAGCAGCTGCGCCTCTCCCCAGGCATGGCCGCGTGCTCCCTGCTGGGCCGGCCCTGGGTAGGCCTGTTTAAAGGATCTCTCTGGGAAAGCTGCTGACGCCTCCCCACGCTCTCCGGTCAGGCTGTTTCCTGCTCTGCAGCCTCAGTCGCTATCACTCAGCAAGCACCACCCCCTAACCGCTGCCCCGCGCCCAGGTGCCCAGTGCTGAGACAAGGGGCGCCCTGCGCCTCGAGGAGCTCCCAGGGGGGCGTGTAGCTGAGCCCTGTCAGGGCCGGTCATCCTGGTACGAGAACCACCCCTGGCGACACAGAAGCCCTGGAAGAGACCAGCCCACCACTGCTCGGCCTGCGCCTGATCTGCAGGCGCTGTTCCCTCCGCCTTCACGTCTTTACCTCTAAGATCAAGGACGCTCCTGCATCCCTCCCTTCTCAGTGGGTTTCCTCCTTAAAACTTGATCTGACCCAGTGACTGTCGCTGCAGGAGTGGAGTATCCATCTCCAGAGGAATGTGATCACTAGCCATCGTTTCCTGAAAATTCCAGGGCTGCAGTTCTAAGGGGACCATCCAGGAGTAAGGTCTGCTCGGACCAATCCCACAGGAGACCCAAGGCCTCACTCACTACAAGGCGCCCACTGCCCGTGTGCACACACATCAGTTGTACCACCGTCAGAAAGTCTGTATCTTCAAGGTTCCTACTGACTTTCAAAGCCATTGTCAAGCCTGCTCTTTCCACCATCGCTTAGTCTCATCTCACTCACCAGCCTCCACGCCCCTCAGAGTTTAGCACCACAGCCCGTGAGCACCTGGGCTCCCGTCGCCCGGCCTCCTGGTCCCACACCCCTCTCTGCCATCCGACCTCTGATGATCCCACTTCCCTCCCTATGCAGGCTGTGTTCCACCTTCCGTGTTGGGGACAGGTCATGCCCTCTGTCCCTGTCTGTCTGCGAGTGGCGCTGGGGGAGGCGGGACCCCTCCGCGTGCTCTCTGCCCGGTTCATTTCCATGCTGCCTCCATTCCCCAGGCTCAGGAGCAGTGCTCCTCGCCCTGACAGCCAGTGCTTACTCTAGTTACTGTGAAAAGACCAGCTGTGACTCATTTCTGGAATCATCTCTCCTAAAAGGTCACATACAATTCACTGGTTAAAAAACAAGAGTTCTTGAACTTCTTTTTGACTCTGGTGCCTGTAAGTAAAAACAAACCCAATGACCTCACTTCCAGAAAACCGCAGGTATGGCGCCAGGTTGCACTGGGGCATCTGACTCTGCCTTCACCACGCACTTGCGATCAGGACTCACTCCAGGTGCTGGTGACATTGGCACCGTCCCCACCCCCGGCTGAGCTGTTTCCTCTAGGTCGGTCTCAGAGCTCTAGAAAGTACCTGCACACATAGATACCCATGTCCACACATAAGATCGCACAGTGACTGACACCCACGGACCTCCACGTCCTCACCAGCGCCCACCACAGGACATGCCTCTCCAGGCACCCCCCTCCCACCTCACCAAACAAAGGATAAAGAGAGCGAGCTCAGCAGTTGGCACGCTCAGCCGGTTCCCTCCTTTCCTAGACATGTTCTGACTCTGGGTGTCCACACTTGGTGCCAGGAGAAGGCTGTGCCAGGCCCTTCGGTGCGCCCCTCCCTCGGCCCTGGGCAGAGCTATGTCATCGGCTGCCATGCACACCTCCTCCAGGCACTGCCGCCGCCGGCCCTCAGCAAACACCTGAGAACTAGACCAGGGTGTATCTACACCTGTCACCCCGCAGCCTGCGCACACTGCCAGGAGCGAGCACTGCCCCTGTTCACTCACAACATCCGAGCCCAGCCACGCGTTCCCCTGACCAGCAGCTCTAGACTGCAGCCCGGCTGAATCTGAGAACAAATGCCACCCAGTCTTCACTTACTGTTGGCAAGAATACCCTAAAAGGAAACCATTCTAAGGGAATCTTTTATTGTCTTCATTTCAATAAGACCACTAGGAACATAAACACAGGGGCAACATTTAGTTTACTTTTTCAATAATGAAGCATTTGTTTCTTATTGTAGGAAGAGTAGGGGAGACTAAATGCTTGGCTTGCCTGACCTTTCAGATTACAGTGCATTTGATTTGCCGAACCAAGTCCTGGAGCGCCGCGCACACACTAACAGAGAGAAAGGATACTCACCCCCTCTGGAAAGAGTAAGATCCACTGTCATCCAGCTCAACTGGCCAAAACTCCAGGACATAATCGTGCAAAGTAATTCTGGGTGAACTGCTCGAGTGTAGCTCAACCGGTTCATGTAACTCATTTCTTTTGAACCATTTTGTGGTGCTTGGTTCATGCTCAGGAGAAAATGGGCAATATTTCAGAAAGAAAGGTTCTCCTTCAACAGCATTAATATGACAACGTGTAGTACAGGTTTCTTCAAAAAATTAGCAAAATAAAAGGAAAAAATCAAACACATGATGACATAGCTAATTTCCCAACACAGGCATTTCCAGAACATAAGTGAGGGCAGAGCTTCCAACAGGTCCTCCCAAAGAGGAGGGCAGCGCCTGGCCCCCACCCCAGGAGGCAGGCACATGCAGTGCAATCTTGTAAAAGAAGGTGTTGCACAGGACAGCTTCCTCACACGGAAGCCACAGAAGACACAGGGTTGCCACACCTTCCCGAAAACATCTTAGTGAGGAGCCTCCATGCAGAAGACGCCAGAAACCAGGCTTTAGAGGGGCTTCTGCACGCAGCCAGTCCAGCCAGCCACTGCCGGGTAGGCGCGGAGGTGGGTACAGATGCTGCATCCCACGTCCTGAGAGGTGGCCGGTTCGATTCCTGGTCAGACACATGCCCAGGTTTCAGGCTCAATTCCCAGTAGGGGGCATGCAGGAGGCAGCCCATAGAAGTTTCCTTCTCATCTGGATGATTCTCTCTCCCTCTCCTTTCCTCTCTTTCTAAAAATCAATTTAAAATCTTTTTTTAAAAATCATCAAGCAGTCACTGCTAATAAATTAAAATTGGTATTCGACACCTGCCATAAAGCTTCCTTGAGTTCCCTGGCCTGAGACGTGTCTTTCATATATACTAGTAGTTGCTCTGACTCGAATATTTTCCTTAATATTTGTAAGGTATTCCCATGAACATCCTGTGTTCTCTAAATTATGATATGGATCTTTGCCTTCATTTTGGGAAGGAGATAACTTGTGTAGAATGTTCTAAAAGTCAGTAAAAAAGTCATCTGTGACATTCCGTTTCAAACAACACGAAGCAGATTTTCATCCAGACAAATGTAATTTATTTCAGGATGCAAGGTTTCACACCTGCTCTCTCTACATAAACTCGGGGGCCACCTTTTCCTCTTTCCAATAAACCCATATAGTTCTTTATTTGATCCCACTCCTCTGGGTTTTTAGTTTCTGTGCCAGAGACACCAAAACATTAGGCAACTATCTAAATTTAAAACCACTGGCTAATTTTAATAAATTCAGCATCTTCTATAGCCGCCTTCTAAAACCAGCAGCAAAACTTTGCTATGACTTACCTGAGGTGCCCCTAAACATAAGCACCAAAAGCGTCAAGGGCAGTTGTCCCAGAGGCATGGTTTAGGGTTCTGCTTCAAAAAGTTTTCCTGGAAAACAGAATAAGTCAGGTTCAGTTAGAACTTTCACATAAAAACGTACCTGTCTTACGAAGAAGGTTTTAAACATCTGGCACACAAAATTTTAAAAATGGACCCAGAAAATTTTCATAGACCTTCATCTAGTCACCAAGTCTTCTTGGAACTTTCAGGAAGTAGAATTAATGAAATTTTAGTGCAATGAAGTTTGGCATCCTGAAGAAATCCCTGGTAATACAATTTTCTAATACAGAGAGCCTCCTGTGTTTTAGGCTTGGTCTACTAAATCTTGCCTCCAAGAACAAAGTTGAGAACAACTGTATTTATAAAAAATCTGCTATTCTATGAATGCAGTCTGTGATTACTGAAATATGTTTGACATCCTGCCCCTGTAGGAGTGTGTGTGTGTGTGTGTGTGTGTGTGTGTGTGTGTGAGTTCCAGTTGTTTTTTTTCTCTCATCTATCTTCTTGCTTCAGAACACAAGTTGCAGAAGTTAGGAACTAAGTCTACTTTACATAACTGTCTCCCTGAAGTCCAGCACAATGCTTAGCACATAGTAAGCATTCATCAATAGTCATTAAGGAGAAATAGGTGTATGGATGTGTGTGCATGTTTCTGCACTCATATGCCCATATGTGTTTATTTTAGGAAAATGGAGAGACAAAGTGGGAACTGCATACATTCCAGACAGAAACAGACTCAAAGAACTCAAATCTGAGTTGACTTTTGCTCTTACTCCAACCCAAGTTTTGTCCTACTAATTACAAATTTAGAGGTAGAATATGTAGGAAGGGTGCGTTGGGGCTCCTATACCAGGTCCGAGTTTTTAATAAACAATCCCATGTTTCTTTTATTTTAAAAAATGTATTTTTTATTGATTTCAGACAGAAAGGGGGAAGGAAAGAGAGATAGAAACATCAATGATGGGAATCATTGATTTGCTGTCTCCTCCACACCCCCTACTGGGATCAAGCCCACAACCCGGGCATGTGCCCTGACTGGGAATCGAAGCGTGACCTCCTGGTTCATAGGTTGATGCTCAGCCACTGAGCCACACCAGCCAGCAATCCCATGTTTCTTTTATACCAGACACCTCCCTTTACTGATTGAGGAAGAGCAGCATCATGGAAAGGGCTTGGTCTCTGGGCTTATGACAAACTGTGCAACCTTGGGCAAGTCACTTAAAAGTCTGAGTCTGTTTGCTCATTCCAAGACGGAGATGGGAAGAATGCCTGTCTCCAAAATCACTGAGCAATCCAAGAGCCAATGTTTACCAAGACTTCCTGGGTTGGGTGCATGAAGCCTCTCAGCCCAAAGTAATTCTCTCACCAGCTACAACTCGCCTCGCACACTAAACAACACAAAACAAAAACACACACCATCACCACCACCAACACCCGCTAATGCCCAAATCCTGGATATTATGTAATGGCTAAGCTGCCAAACCATTTACATCAATCTTTATGAATAAATAACCAAGCACTTGATGTCATTTCCAAGAGATAATAATCAATAATGTAAAGACAAAAGGGATAAGGATGTATGGAAAGTACCAGCTGTTCATAATGAAATTAGAATATTTCTATGGCTTGAAATAAGCCCCTCCCCACACACACGCACATGTTTTGTTATTATCTATTCTCTTATCTAGGGTAGAATGAAAAGTGCTGTTTCCTCTGGTTAAGGTTGACACTGCCTATGAAGAGCACTGCTATTTTCTTGGTTTGTGGTTTTTTAAATTTTCAAGGTCTACTAAGAGATGAAGTTATTATGAGATAACTCATCATTCTGATAACTTCACTCAGTTTCGATTTGAAACATGTTAAGATTCCAGTATACAAATTAGTTGGTATTTTCCCTGCTCTATGTCTGAGTATATATAAAATTACTAATGTACTTATTGTGGATTTAAAAGATTAAGATATTAAATTATAAAATTTAACTTCTAAAAGTTATTCTGAAAAATATCATAGATAGCAGTTATAAAATATATGTAAGAGGACATAAGTATTAAATTTCTTGCATGTGGAAATTCTGGAGATTTTTTTAGTGCTATGTTTGATGTTGATATTATTTATTGCTTTTACATAATTTTAAAATTTCTTCCTTCTTTCCTTTCTTTTTAAAAATGTTTCTAATTTCTAAAGTAATATATGCCAATTAAAGGACATGTGTAAAATGAAGATTGAAAAGCAGAAAATAATATCAACATGTCTAATACTGTATTTAGCATGTTTTCTTGTACTTTATATATTTTCAAATAACTAAGATGACCTTTAAATAATTTCCTATCTTGCATTTTCCTGCGTGGCAGAAATCTTTGTCAACACTGTTTTAATTGTCACACCATATTCTTTCATATGGATGTTATGCTTTACAGCATGTGTTTTATGATAAAATGGCCCATAGCCATGTTCCCATGTAAGGCAGTTGGATCAGGTTCTGAAGCATGGCCTGTGCTGCCAGACGGGCTGGATTTACATCCTCGCTCTCCTCATTTTTAGCTGAATGGTGCCGAACAAGTTACCCTCTCGGTTCTTCACTTAATCTAGCCATGGAAGGGAATAGCAACACCACTGCCTGGAGCTGGTGTGAAGGTTACATAAATTGCTATTACAAAATATCTGGTGAATAATAAATATCACTTACAGGTTAGCTATTATTATTTATCTATAGTTCTTACTTTCTTGGTGTCACTATATGGCAGTACAAAGAATACATTTTAAACATGGTAAATGCATACAGCATTCCAGAAATGCAGTAATAATTCATTATTCGCCTACCACACCCAAGTAAGCACTGAACATTCTCATTCTTCAATTAGGTACTCAAATTAGTACAAAGTATCTCATGTTTTTTATATGCATTTCTATTGGTATAAAGAAAGCAAAATATTAGTCATGCATTTTGTAGCTAGTTTTCTATGTTTATGAACTGTCTTTTTATGCCTTTTGTCCATTTTTAGATGTTTAGTGTTTTCTACAACCTGTTGTTCGGTTTACCTTTTAATTCCTCTTTCGATGCTTTAACATCTGGAAGCGTTTATATTTGTGCAGTCCACCTGTCCTGCCTTTGCTTTGTGGTTTTTCCATTGCTACTTTACCATTTAGAACATTCCTTTCCCCGCAGGGGTCAAATATGTACTTACCTGTATTTTCTTTATTTGTTTGGTATGCAGATGAGGTCAACTTCACTTATTTTTCCCAAGTAGCTACTCACGACTTCTGTATGGGATTCGCAGTCCCATCGTCCCTTACAGCGGCTGCCCGGGCTGCGCAGCCCCTCCCCAGCGCCCATGCACAGTCAGCTCAGCATGTGGGCTCCACGTGGCCCTCCCTCCCCGCCCTCCCACCTTGCCTGGTTTTTTTATTTACAGCACTGTTCACTAACTGACATATTATCATTTTATGTCTGCTCGCTTATTTTTTTGCTGAGTTAATGAAGGCATTAAATTAATGAAGGCAGAATATATGCTTTGGGGAGTCTATCCAAAGCTGAGCATCTGACCCATTGTTGCATCTGCCTGTGAAATGCTTCTTACCCCTGACACCTTGAAACATGTGTTTTACGTGAGATCTAGCGCCCTCACTCTCACTCAGAGTGAGAAAAAAATATGCCTGGGCTCCACATGCATGTCCATTACTACCCTATGCTCCCTGCCTCCACCACTTACCATTCATGCGTGTGTGAGTGTGTGCATACACACATACACATATACTTATATACGAATCTTCATATGTAATGTATAGTGTTACTATATACTATGATGCATATTATATAACAGTATTGTTTTCGAGGTTAAAGCATTCCCACTTTTTTTCTGAAAAGTGGAAACAGCTAAAGTAGGTGAGAGTTTCCGTTCATTAAGCGCTCATTTGTGTCCGACCCATGAAAACATGCAGATGGTTCTCTTACTCACTCTCCCACAGGCCGAACGCAGGAGGCGCTGCCCAAGGCACAGAGAGGCGCGCGCTTACCCAAGGGCATCAGCTACAGACCCAGGTCCGCATCCGGATTCCTGCTTCCCACCCTTTCCCTTCCATCTCCGGTCCGGGAGGAGACCTCCCGCAGGCTGCACCCCGGTTATCAGAAAGGTCAGGGCTTGCAGCCGCCGCAGAGGGACACCCTTCCCCTGATCCCTTCTGAAACGGAATTTTGTTTTCAGAAAACCTGCCCAGCAGGGACGGAGGGCGCTGGGGAGGGGCACAGCCGCGGGCGCGGTCCTTACCTCCAGGAGTTGGAGGCGGCGGGGCAGCGGTCCCCTCCACCGGGCAGGGGGCAGGGCTCAGGCGGCAGGTGGGAGCGCGGGCTGCCCCAGCTCCAGAAGCAAGGAGCCCCAAGTGTGGGGAAAGGGGAGAGGCAACTGGAGAGTCCAACACAGAGAAGGGACAGAAAATTGGAAGAAAGAAAAGCCGCCGCTGAGTGGGCAGGCGGAGGCGCGGGGTGGGGGGCGCTGGCGGGCGGAGGCGCTGCTCGGGATCCCGGCGCTGGCCGGGTGCCGGCGGGGATCTCCGGGGCAGCGACAGGTGGCGAGTCCCTGGAGCTCTGGGCCGTGGGTGGAGCCGAGTGGCTGTGGGGCTAAAGACGCCGAGGCAGCAGTCTCGGGCCGCAGGGCTGTGAGCACCTAGATGAGGGAGCCACCTGTGCCCAGCCCCGGGGTGGGGGCATCTGCACCGACGGAAGGGGCGTGGAGCGGGCTGGGGCAGGGTCCTGAGGTGAGCCAAAGGTCGGGAGGAGGTCCCTGTCAAGCACCCACGTTCCCTGCTTAGCCTGGCGGGCGGCAGGGGGCGGGGGGCGGGGGGCTTGCAGTTGGGAAGCCATGGAGAGGCCCGCCCTGTGGAACTGAGGTGAAATTGCTTAGAGGTCAGGCTGAAGGAGAGCTGCATGGTGGCACTGAGGGGCACGTTTCAGACTGGTCTGCGGTTGAATCTCTCAAACAAAAATGAAGAATGAAACCCTGGCTTACAGGGAAAGGATTTAATGAGACTGATTTTCATTTTTTTATATACAATTACTGGAGGCCCCGTACACGAATTCGGCCTGGGTGGGGTCCCTCAGCCTGGCCCAGACCCCATAGGGCCCAATTGGGGCTGTCCGGGGTGAGGGACTATGGGAAGTTAGCCGGCTGTGGGAGGTTGTCTATGGGAGTGCACTGACCACCAGGGGGCAGCTCCTGCATTGAGCGTCTGCCCCCTGGTGGTCAGTGCGCATCATATTGTTTGGTTGACCCGTCGTAATGATCACTTAGGCTTTTATATATATAGATTAGAGGCCTGGTATACAAAATTCATGCACTGGGGGGGAGGGGGTCCACTTAGCCCGACCTGTGCCCTCTCCCAGTCCAGGAGCCCTTGGGGTATGTCCAACTGATGGCTTAGGGGAGCGGGCCTAAGTCGTCATTGGACATCCTCAGCTGCCACGAGGTGGGAGAGGCTCCCACCATGGCAGCTATGCTAGCCAGCTGTGAGCCTGGCTTCTGGCTGAGTGGCATTCCCTGCTGTGGGAGCGCACTGACCACCAGGGGGCAGCTCCTGCGTTGAATGGGATCGGGTCAAAACTGGCTCTCCGACATCCCCCAAGGGGTCCCGAATTGTGAGAGGGCACAGGCCAAGCCAAGGGACCCCCACTGGTGCATGTTCGGGGCTGGGGAGGGACGCAGGAGGTTGGCCAGCCGGGAGGGCTCCAGGGCATGTCTGGCCGGACTCGCTCAGTGCTGATCTGACAGACCCCATTAGCAAGCTAACTCACTGGTCCAAGCGTCTACCCCCTGGTGGTCAGTGCGGATCATAGCGAGCTGTTGAGCAGCCTTAGCATATTATTAACATATTACGCTTTGATTGGTTGAACGGATGACCGGACACTTAGCATATTAGGATAATATATAGGATAATAAGTCATCATATGATAAATATAACATATAGTGCCAATATAATATTATATATAATAAATATAATAAAAGGAAAATCATATGATTAACTTGATAAATACAATTTAAAGAGTCTGACAAAAGTCAACACCCTTTCTTGATTACTAATGCTCAGAAAACTGCAACCAGGAGGGAACATCTGTAAGAAACCTAGAGGCAGTTTTATACTTAATAGGGAAATGCTTTGCTTTTGCTAAGATGAGGAACAATATAAAGACAGCTCTCAACTAGGACAATTGATTTGTATCAAATAAAATAATGAAAATAGGAGGTCTAAAGAAGGAAGGAATAAAACTACTCTTTTTGACAGAGAGCATACTTTTATTAAATCACCCTTTGAAATCTACAAAAATCTACTGGAAATAATAAATGAGTTTAACAAGATCATGGGATACAATGTCAACACACAAAAATCAATTATAATTCTACACAGTTTTTAATGGAAATTTGGAAAATAAAATTTGTTAGAAATATGATTTGCAATAGTATAAAATCAAATACCAAAGTATAAATTCTTTGAAAAATGTACAAGGTATCTACTACAAAACACTGTTAAATAAACAAAGGGATGTACTATGTTTATGGATTGGAAGTCTCACTGATTGATATCTATTCTCCACAAACTATAGAGTTTATAGTCTATACATTTTTAGACTCAATAGGTTATAGAGTTCATATATTTCATGCCATCCCAATACAAGTTTCATTAGGGATTTTCAAATAATTTGAGAAGCTATTTCTAAAATTAATGTAAAAACACAAACAATCTAGAATAGTCAGAGCAATCTTGAGAAAAGAAAACAAAGTGACTTGAAGTTTTACAATAAAACAATAGGAATCTTTCAGTGTGAGGATTCCTATTTCCATTTATATGCTCTTTTGCATGAGCATATAAATGGAAAATAATAGACTAGAATAATAAATCCACACATATGTAGTCCCTTGATTTTTTTTTACGAAAGCACTATTTCAATTCAATGGAGAAAGAAAAGTCTTTGACATATGTTGTTGGAACAACTGGCTATCTCTCTAGAGAGAGAGAGAGAAAAGAACCTTGACCCTTATCTCATTCTATATACAAATATTAATTCACCAGGAATTATAGAGCTAAACAGAAAAGTTGGAATCAGAAATATTTCATAGCCCTGGCCAGTGTTGCTCAGTGGATAGAGCCATGGCCTGCACACTGAATGGTTTCAGGTTCAATTCCCAGTCAAGGGTGTGTACCTGGGTTGGGGATTTATTCTCTTACACTGATATTTCCCTCTCTTTCTCTCCCTCTCCCTCCCTCCCTTCTTCTCAGAAGCAATGGAAGGAATAACCTCAGGTGAGGATTAATCAAAAAAAAATATATATTTCACAAAAATACATAGGAGAGCCCTAACCGGTTTGGCTCAGTAGATAAAGCGTCAGCCTGCAGACTGAAAGGTCCCAGGTTCGATTCTGGTCAAGGGCATGTACTTTAGTTGCAGGCACATCCCCAGTAGGGAGTGTACAGGAGGCAGCTGGTCGATGTTTCTCTCTCATCAATGTTTCTAACTCTCTATCCCTCTCCCTTTCCCTCTGTAAAAAATCAATACAATATATTGTTAAAAAAGTACATAGAAGAAAGGGAAAAAAATACATAGGAGAAGGAGAACCAAGATGGCGGCATAGGCAAATGCCTGTACTTGCTGCCTCCCACAACCACATCAAAATTATAACTAAAATACAGAGCAACCGTCATCCAGAACCACTGGAAATATGGCTGAATGGAAGTACCACAACTAGAGAATTAAAGAAGAAAGCACACTGAGACTGGTAGGAGGTGCAGAGGCATGAAATGGGCTGGTCCAGCAACTATGTGAGCCACTTCTTTAATCAAGAGGGAGATTGCCTCTGCAAAGGCTGCCAGGAGAAGCAAGGGATCCCATCCCCACACCAGACGCCTATCCCAGGGTCCCAGGGCTGGGAAAAGAAGTCCCTATGGGCAGTAAGAACTACGGGCTGTAAAAACAAGTGCAGATTGGGGCTTAGTGACATAGAGGCTGCTGGAGACCCAGCTGCTCCTCTTAAAAGGCCTGTGCATAAACTGAACTTACAAGCTACCTCTTCCTCTGAGCTCCAGTGCCAGGTGAGGCTCTGGGGGACCCAGACACATATAAGGATGAACTGGACTGTCTGGCATCAGGGCAGGAACTCAGGGGCAGCTTTCTTCCAAATGGTGGTGCTCACAGTGGTCATTGTTCCCATGCTAGGACCTCCCCAGTCACAGGGCTGACTGGCAGCCATTTCAGTTTGCTCCATTTTGGTGATTCCCTGAGACCCCACTCCACCCAATTTACAACCCCACCCAAGCTGTGGGCAGCGGCTTTTGCATATAAATGGCCTGTCCTTGCTCAGGCTAAAAACCTGTCAAAAAAGCTGCAGCTGGGTCAGGGAGCCCCAAACTATCAATAAAAGGCCCAAGACCTAGCACCAGCACCAGCCTGACTTACTTCACAGCTGGGCCTCGTCTGGGAACTTCCAAACCTGATACAAAGAGGAGGAATCTGCAGATTTCTCTGTAGCTGCTACTGGGTGTCCCCAGGCAGTGGCTGACTTTGCACCTCCCTGGAGACCCAAGAGCCAGTGTACCCAGTGATCAGTGTCAGACCATGCCAGATTACAATCCTACACATCCATAAGTGACACATTCAAGGGGAAGACTCAGTGAGCACCAAAGCCCCACTGAAGTGAGGCCTGCTCCATAGGGGTGTCTCCTGCACAGCAGCTCTTCCATTATAGATGCAGCTGGTCCTCACAGCCAATTGGCCTAGAGGTCAAATCCTCACAGTGAGGCTAATTCTCCCACTGATGACAACAAGACTGTGCTCATAGCCCACAAATGGGTACACCTAGAGCTCCCAGCTCAGGTGACTGGGGAGGCTGAGCCACTGGGCCCTATAGCACACCTACTACACAAGGCCACTCTATCAACTCAAGGAGACTTAGCATCTCTACCCCAACATATAGAAACAAACACAGGGAATCAGCAAAAATGCAGAGACAAAGAAACATGTCACAAACTAAAGAAATGGAAGAAGCAAGCAAACTACTGGATATAGAGTTCAAAACCAAGGTTATAAGGTTACTCAAGAATCTTCTAGAAACCTCCAAGGGACTTAGTGAGACTTTCAAAGATCTTAGTAAAAATGCCAAAAAAAAAAAAAATGGAAAAGGACCAGTTGGAAATTAAGCATACACTGACTGAAATAAAGAATAATATACAGGGATTCAACAGTAGAGTAGAGGATCCGAAGAATCAAATCAATGATTTGAAATATGAGGAAGCAAAAAACACCTGACCAGAAGAGCAAAAAGAAAAAAGAATCCAAAAATATGAAGATAGTGTAAGGAGCCTCTGGACAACTTCAAGTGTACCAACATCTGAATTATGGGGGTGCCAGAAGAAGAGAGAGAGCAAGATATTGAAAACCTAATTGAAGAAATAATGCCAGAAAACTTCCCCTACCTGGTGAAAGAAATAG